CACAAAAACATGTTCATTTTACGTTTTTGGGCACAGAAAGGAAGTGACTTACTTTGCCGTTCATGTCTTGTCAGATCGCAGGACCTCTTCTACGTTGCGAATCTTTTTTTTTTTTTGTCAATACTTTAACTGTTCCCTCTTTCCTCGTCTCGTGATTATTATCAGGTTCTGTTACCTGTGTGACGGTTCGGGAGTATGGAAGCAGCGATTTTTTTTTTCAATCCATACGTTCCTTGAAAGTGCTTTCTTTCTTTTGGGGGTGGGGGTGGGAAAGCCACGACCAGTAAAGGTAGAATTGTCTGGGGCGCCTGAAATAGACAACACAACTTACTACAAACAATATATACGTCGAGCCAACGCCAAACCAAGCTATGTCATAACACCCCCATGCAACATAGGAGGTCTTGCGACCTGACGAGGCATGAATGGCAAGGAAAGTCACTCTCCTGCGACCTGACGAAGCATGAATGGCAAGGGAAGTCACTCTCCTGCGACATGCTTGTTAAGGAGGTAGGGGATCTATGGCAAACCTCCCCTTTTCCTGCAATCTACACAAAGATTATTATTGCTTGTAAGCTCAACAAGGAGTTAAAGTAAATATTACTTGCGACTGAAAGCGATTAAACTACAAGGAGTTAAAGTAAATATTACTTGCGACTGAAAGCGATTAAACTAAAGTAAAGTAAGAAAGTAATGATCCGTTCTCATGCCTAAGGCACAACTAAAGTAAAGTAAGTAAGTAAAGATCCTTTTTAACGCCTTTAGGTACAACTAAAGTAAAGTAAGTCAAGATCTTTTTTCACTCCTTTAGGCATATCTAGCATATGGAAAAAATATCCATATTTTTACAGACCAATCGGTACTAGGTGGGTAATGTGGTCATCATTACGCCGGCCGTCTTTACCTCCCCAAAACATACATCATGGTACCCATTTTGGGGTTGGTCGACCAACGCAGGATTAAACTAAATCCCGTTTGAAAGGCATTTGTAAATCTGACCACTGCACTCGCTTCTAGAATCGGCAACATTTAGCAACATTCAGCAACATTCAAGCAGCACTATGCCAGGCTTTCCATTTGCCAGTAATGATTCTGATGCCTGGTGGGAATTATTCTTCTCTTAGACAAAGCAACAGGAAAAGTGAAAGAGTTGCACTGCGATGCTTGTCCTGTGTTTGAAAGCAAAGGACATTGTGTTCTGTCAGTGCTGAAAAGGCTTTAGGTCAGTCGTTATGTCTTCATTTTCAAAATGTAAAGTAAAAAAGAAAAAAAAAAAAACCATTAAAGGACGTGTTCGGCATATAGGTCTAGACCAGCGGTTCCCAACCTGTGGGTCGAGACCCATTTTTGGGTCGAACGACCCTTTCATAGGGGTCGCCAAAGACC